CCACTGCAGAAGAAGGCATCGCTGTTGCTTCAGTCGCTTTTGTCTTATCTAAAATCTGTATTTTGAATTTTTAACCTAAAAAATGAAAGTATCTTATGTGGTTTGTTTGATTGTGTACAATTTTAGTTACATAATAAGATATAAGTATTTAAGGGGTGTGATATAAGTATTTAAGGGGTGCTGTGGGTGGGTGCGGCCGAATTCGGTCACTTGGTATTTGACGGAATATCACCGCGACCGAATTCGGCCGCTTGGTAGCTAAGAGAAAAACTATTTGATAATATAGGTATTTAGAAATTTGCTACTTGTCTTAATATCGTAATTAATAACATATTTGTTTTTATATTACTGAGTTTTATTAAACAATAAAATTCAATATGGTTGTCGAGTTCCTTGTCTATAATACTTATGGATGTTCTTACTCATATCTGTTAACAACTAAAGTCACCAACAACAGATAATTATCAAATTTTTAATAATTTACAGGTTTTCAACTGAACCTAGACTAAAACTATGGCTTAAACGCTTATTATTGTGAATTGGCGTCTGAAACAAAATGATCATCTTTGTTCTAAACATTTCACAGACGACTGTTTTATTAGACATGAGAAATGCACCACTTAGAAAACATGCAGTATAGCGACAATTACTATTTCGAATGTTTTTTTCTTTTATTTCATTCCTTCTCATTTTCCCCCAAACTGAAAAGCCCTAGTCAAGTGTCTCCACCGACTGCAACTTTGCGAGGCGCATGTTCAGCCGCACATGGAATACTGTTCCCATCTCTGGGCTGGGGTTCCCCAGTACCAACTCCTTGAACTTGACCGCATCCAGCGCAAAGCTGCTCGAATCGTTGACGACCGAGTGCTTTCCGATCGGCGCGCTTCACTGGCACTGCGAAGAGATGTTGCATCTCTTTGCGTATTTTATCGCATCTATCACGGGGAGTGCTCTGAGGAATTGTTCCGATTAATCCCAGCTACCAAACTTCATGAACGCACTACGCGGCAAACCTCCCGATAACATCCACAATTTATTATATCAAGGGAATAAGCATAATAATTATATCAAGGGAATAAATATATATTGGGACTGCAAAATTATTAATATCCTTAGTGAGTTTAGGTGAGAAAGAGCTTTCCCTGAACGGGTTTCCGCCTTGTCATGGAGAGTTAGCCGCCGTGGCTTGGTAACCCATGCTAAAATTAGGGGACTCACATGGCTGGTCGTATGAGAAAGCTCAAAATCGCTTAGCGAGCTATGGAGGGGCAACGTTTGGGATTTCTCCGCGTGGTAAACTTTGCAATGAGGATACTAGAAATAGAACCAGAGTGACCGACACGGCCCAATGGATTAATAAGCTGAAGTGGCAATGGGCCGGCTTGAAGAACCGATAACCGATGGGGAAAAAGGGTTCTCGATTGGCGGCCTCGTACCGACGGGCGAAGTGTAAGACGTGACGCCACTAGATGGAGTGACAACCTGCTAAGACATGCAGGAAGTTGATGGATGCAGGTGGCTCAGGACCGTGCTTTGTGACATTCCTTGGGGAAGGCCTATGTTCAGCAGTGGACTTGTGAAGGGCTGTAATGATGATGAAAGATGATGGAATTATATTAATATGTTAAACAAATATATTGACTCGATTTATGTCAGTTTATCTCAATTTATGTTAATGTTATGTTCAGTGGTGAAAGAAAGCATCGTGAAAAATCTGTATGTGTTATAAATTTAAAAAACATATTACGAGGGCTTATAAAATATGCCAACACACATTAAGGAAAGCGTGTCAGTCTTTTCTCAGCACCAAATAGCCTTTTAGAAATAAATGGAGGGCTATTCCCAATCATGTGATGTATGTAGGCTGTTTCATTGCTTACATATTTGTATAATATTTGCTAAGATATTTTTCATCATCATCAAGCCATACAAGTTCAGTGCCTCAGCAGTGGCCATCATACGTATACGTAAAAATTTAGCTTAATCGTCACGTTTGGATTGACAGCCGCCTAGATTTACGGTCCCACCAGACGTCTCGTATCATCGACAATCCTGCCCGTCGCTAGTTTGGGTATTTCATATCAGGCAAACATGACATCAGAAGGCCGAAAAATTCCGACATATTTTTACGTGGTAGAGCCTCGCTGCAGCTATATTGTGGTTGTAGTATGAAAGACTACGTTCTCACAGTATACCAGCGTAAAATAGCAACTTAATGCTGTTGAGTTTCATATGGTGCGTGTAGAGAGTCAGAGACCCTTTTTACTGGAAACGAGGCATTCCATCTCATTCCTCTGGGGTAACTAAGCATCTGCATTTTGATTCTTAATTGATGATAAATGATGATTTAGATGTCACAGCATTCACTTACCATCAGGTGGACTGTGTACTCGTATGTAACCGTTATTCTATAAAACAAAACATCTACGATATTCACTTGGTAGTCATTTTTAGGATTAATACGAAACAAAATGGCTTGATGGATTCTATTACACCGCCACCACACGATAGATTTGCTCAAATACTCGTATACTGAATAACCTTTTTTACTGTCTGGAAAAAAATAGGGTGTATTAGGTGAACGGAGTAGAAGTCTATGGCACTGATATTTTACAAAATATAAAAACAAAAATTTTGAATTAAATAAATAAATGAATTAAAATCTATCGAATCTATCCCAGTTTTGCGAGCGGCAATAAAACAATAAATTTGTCAATGTTTTTTCACAAGGTCACAGGCTCAAGGGCAAAGCCACCCGCGCCCTGAACTCTTATTTCTTTTCCTATGGTTAGCTATCACGTGAATTCGCGACGCCGTCATATTATTTATGTTTCCACGTGTGTATCGTAAACATGTACCAACACTCCAATGTCGAGTATCTAACAATGACGATATTTTATGTCTTGTCTGGTGAAAACTTAGACGGTGCAACGAATCGATATTTACCCGTGTTGAATTTTATGGATTAAAGAACGATTGACGTGAGTAACGTTTATTCAAATTATACGTTCCTTCATCGACACTATGTTGCAAAAAGTTCCTCTGAGCCGTCTGCAAGTAATGTACTTCCAGTATGATGGATGTCTAATTCATTACGAACGATCTGTGTGCACATATCTGGCAGCCAATCGATGCCATCAGCCAATTCGATGATAAGTGGGTAGGTCGCAGTTGACCTGTGAACTGCCTGGCGAGATCACCAGACCTAACACCTCTAGACTTATTTGTTGGCCGAACTAAAACGATCAGTGTACAAAGAAGAAGCACAAAGTGTTAGTGATTTAAAGCAGCGTATAGTAGATGCATTTTATGTTATAAAAAGCTATAGAGACACGCTTCGTAGTTTAACAAACAATTTACAAAGACCTGCCAGTTTGTGTTTCAAAGAAAATGGTAGACATTTTTAACAATCACTGCGATATCGCTAAAGAAGTAATTTTCATTTGTAAATAACAATAATGTAGTATAATTTTTAAATATCAATCAGTATAGTTTGTAAATAAGTTGATTTTTATCTTCTACAGTCGACGATGTTTTTAATGAAAAAGTGGCAAAGACGGCAACGTGGCTTTTTATAAATCTCTTTATTTTATCGGCCAAGTACTATACTAATAAACAGTATAAGATCTTGCATTAGTAGGCAGTACTAGTACTGGGAGGTCTACTTACACCGAAATTTTTAAGGTCATTGACATTATACGCGAACGCCGTAAAATGAATTGTTTTATATATTTATTTGGATATTCGGAAATTTGTCTAACTAGTTATATTTTATTATATTTTACAAATACTTTTGAGGATAGCTTCTATTCTACTTACACAAGACACCATAATTTTTTCCATATAATTTTAATTTATCCTAATTTTTTTTTCAAAAATATACTAGTTACCCTCTGAAATATTTTTGGATCATTATTTTTTACTTTACGAACACATTTGTTCGGAACATACCATTGTCACAGTGTTACAATTAAAAGTACGCATACAGTACCTACTGCGTAGCGAATTAACTAAATGTATGGCAACCGCGTAGCGGGACATGGGTTGAATTCCTGTGCAGAACTTTAGTTAAGAGTTTGGATGTTTTTTTCTTCTTCCCATAAGGAAGTTTATACTATTTCCATTATGAAATTATAAGAAGTTATCCTATACAATATTTTGTTTACAATCTACTGATGCTTCACATCAGGAACCAGCTCAACCCAGCGTATAGTCGATAACGACAGTATCTTAAGTTCGCAAAATTACCTGAAGAGGATGTAGCTTGAGGCTTATTTATTATGTATCAGAGGACTTATTTCGTTGTTTCTACTGTAAGTTTACATGCACATTATTTAACGAATATACAAGACGGTCAAGTTCCTTCCAAAACTCCTGTTGAATATTATAGTACAGAACGGCAGCCATACTGGATAAATATTAAAGTGTAGTAATGTTTCTTAATAAAAAAATAAAGGAGCCGTGGTAGCTCAGATGGTTAGCGCTCGCTGTAGTACGCTGTAGTACGCGAGCAAACCGGGTTCGATCCCCGCCGGCACCAATGAAATAGTTAATTGCAATTTTAAGTGCTGATTTACCACGTGCTTGGCGGTGAAGGAAAACATCGTGAGCAAACCTGCATGTCAGAGAAATAAGGAAAAAAAATATTTCGAAGACATGTGAAGTTCGCCAACACGCACTGGGGCACAATTCCTTGCCCTAAAACCCTCTCAGAAATGAGCGGAGGCCTGTGGCCAGCAGTGGGACGTATATAGGCTGTAACTTTACTTTTTTATTTTTTTAAAAAAATAACAAATGTACTTTTGACCTTAAAGAGTTCTTAAGAACAATATATATGTCATTTTAGTTTATCTCCGTTTTCTTATCTATTACTATCGTAATATCAGGTGTAATCGAAATGAAATAAATATCGAGATATTTGCCGCTTACAGTAATTACTTCGTAAGAAGTAGTGCCGTGTGTACAAAGAAAAGTTAAGCTAACACGAATAATCATTAAAAATGGCTTTTTACGGAAAATTTTTTGCTGTTGAGCGCGAAGAAAACTACGAAGCATTCGTCAAATCAATGGGTATATCGTTTTGAATATTTCTAGCTAACGGTAACTTACATAAATTATATGCTCGTTTATTCATTAACGTAGTGCATTTAACTAAACATATAATAACATAATATAAATACTCAGGCTTGTCACCCAGAAACGTAAGCAGACTACGGACTTCCATTTGGCACGATCCTGTCACACCTCTCTCTCCTCCTTTAATTCCATATATCTACACATATTCGCTCGTCGGTTAAGGGTACTCCTAGTCTTCTAATTTTCAATATATCGCTCATTTGGTCGATAAACCTTCGTGTAGGGCGTCCCTTCCCGACTCTACCGTTCACATCTGCAATATAAAATGGTTTTGTCAATTTTTTCTCGTTTGTTATTTCAACGTGACCAAACTACCGTATACCTCAATCCTGGTCACAACATCATCTTGCAAACTATACTTTTGCCTATTCACACTATTTCTGCAGTTAAATTAGTAGTATAGTTACACGAATGGGTCGGCTCGCCCGTGGAACACCCACGCTATCACAGAATAATACTCAAACAGTTAGTAGCTTGGAGCTGCTGAGTTTCGTATAGTGAGTGTAGTGAACCGGAGACCCTTTTTACTAGAAACGAGGCATTCCATCTTAGTCCTCACGTGTGACAACGCATCTGCATTTTGATTCGTAATCGAGGATAGATATAGATGTCTATGTGCCACAGCAATCACTTACCATCAGGTGGACTGTGTGCTCGTTTGTCACTCGATCCTATAAAAAAACTAAGCATGTAACTACTACTGTAATTTTTTATTAATTGTTAGGATTCCTTTCCTGCCTAAGAGTTTGCATGAGTAGGTGATACTCACTTGCCTATTTCTTCCGCTAAATACCAGTGCCTACTAAACATGGGCGTTTTCAGTTTTCAGCTGCAACGGTTACATAACCGATATTTAGTTTTCATATCGTTATGCTGTGTCTACCACTGCGTTACAGCGTATGAGAATTGAGAGGTTACAAGATGAAGATGTGAAATACAAGTACAAATGCAGACTGAGAGAAAATATAAGTAATTTGGATGAGTTGTGTGTGAATGAGTTAGGCTTGGAGAATGTGTGGCATAATGTTAAGAAAGGTTTAGTGGATGCAGCTACCGAAGTATGTGGTGTTAGTAAGAGAACGAATGAAAGGAAAGACAATACGTTATGGTGGGATGATGAGGTACGTATGGAAGTTGAAGCAAAGAAGAGAGCATGGCTAGATTTACTAGCGACCAAAGCTGGTAATTCTGGCTGTAAGAATGATGAGAATGAAAGAAAAAAGGCAGAGTTTAAACGTATAAATAAGAGAGTAATAGAATTATTTGAAAGGAAAAAGCAAGAAAGAACGGATAGGAATGATAGAAGAATATCGGATAACTTCCAGGCAAATATTAAAATGTTCTGGAAACTCGTAAGAAATACCAGGGGACTTTCAAAACAGCCTAGATGGAATGCGATACGCGACGTGAATGGCTGTATCCTGAATGATGAAGTGTTGAGTCTAAAGAGATGGAAGGAATATTTTGAAAGCGAATTTATGAGTGAGGAGAAGTGTGAACTAAATGAAATAGAAATTCCGAAAGAAGATGAAAGAGATAGGGAGATAAGTATAGATGATATAATGAAAGCAATGAAAAGCATGAAAGTAGGTAAGGCAGCCGGATATGATAGAGTTTCACTCGAAATGCTAAGGGCTGGAGAGGACGTGGTGGCAGGCCTGCTGTACACCTTGTTTAATTTATGTTGGGAACTAAAGCGGGTACCGGGAGACTGGTGCAAAGCCGTGATAGTCCCAATATATAAGGGAAAAGGGTCACAGCAGGACTGTAAAAACTACCGTGGTATCAGCCTTCTTAGCATTGTGGGAAAACTGTATGCTAAGGTACTAATTGAAAGAGTTAAGAAAGAAACTGATGAAAAAATTTGGCATGTGCAAGCGGGATTTAGAAAGGGAATGGGGTGTACAGATGTTTTCCATGAGCATGATCGCGGAGAAGTTTTTGGCGAAAAACCAAAAAGTTTTTTGTGCGTTCATGGACTTGGAAAAGGCTTATGACAGAGTGGACAGGGATGTGTTATGGCAAACGCTGAACGCATTTAGGTTGAGCGCTGGTTTGATACAGGCATTAAAGTCTCTGTACAGGGACTCGAGTGCTTGTGTTAGAATCAACGGGGTCTACTTGGACTGGTTTGGCATCCATAAAGGTGTCAGACAGGGCTGTGTAGCTTCCCCGTGGCTGTTCAACCTATTTATGGACAGCTGTTTGGAAAATTTGAAAGTTGAAGAATGCGGGTTAAGAATGGGTGAGTTAACCATCAAATGCCTTTTGTACGCCGATGATCAAGTCATACTTGCGTCGTCGGCGGCCGAGTTGCAAATGATGGTTACATTAATGAACAGGTCATTAAAAGAAAGGGAAATGAAAGTGAATGCAAGTAAGACGAAAGTGATGGTTTTTGAAAGAGATGAAAGCAAAACGGTATGTGAAATAAGAATAGAAGGAGAGTTAATTGAGCAAGTGGATGAGTTCGTATATTTGGGATGTGTATTCAACAGGGATGGGAGATATGATAAGGATATTAAACGACGAGTGAATGCAGGAAATAAAGTAAATGGGGCTCTACACTCTATTGTGAAAAGTCAGAATGTGTCAAAAAAGGCACGTATGGCAATTCACAGTGCTGTATTAGTCCCTACTTTAACGTATGGTAGCGAAAGTTGGGTGTGGCAGAAGAAGCACGAGAGTAGAATAAATGCAGTAGAAATGCGGTCACTAAGGAGTATGTTAGGGCTGAATCTGAGTGACAGGGTGAGAAACTGTGTGATAAAAGAAGAGTGTGGTTTGCAAGATGATGCGGTGACCAGGATTAAGAAAGGAATGCTTCGGTGGTTTGGTCATGTAGAAAGAATGAATGCGGAAAGACTGACAAAGCAAATATATGTTGCAGAAGTGAATGGAAGAGTCGGAAAGGGACGTCCTAGGCGGAAGTTTGTCGACCAAATTAGCGATATACTAAAATGGGCTAAATTAAGAGTACCCTTAACCGACGAGTATGCGTAGGTATATGGATGTGGAAGAGGCGAGAATGGTATGTCAGGATCGTGCTAAATGGAAGTCTGTAGTCTCTGCCTACCCCTCTGGGTGACAGGCGTGAGTGTTTATGTGTTTTATGTAATATCGTTATTGCAAACCGTTTTCAGACATCAATATCAGTAGGAACGGTTTGCTACTGAATACGCGAACGACAACCGAAACATAACCGCAAACGAGAACCAGTGCAATTTTTATTTTACGAATTACGTAGATTATTCTAGTATTGATATTAGTTTATTTAGACATGTATGTTAATATATAATTACTGTAAATTCATTGTTATGCGGTAATAAATTATACAGTTACCGTTACAGTCTTTTAAAGTCCACTACTGAACATATAGTCCCCCCATAGATTGCATCTTAGGGGGGATATTTGCCACAGTAGCCACGCTTGGCAAGCGGGTTGCCAACCGCAGTTTTCTGAAGTGAAACTTTTTACGGGAAGGCTCTGAAATTCTGATCCGTAACCTCATTGAGTGACGAAAAGTGGTGGGGAATGTACCGGGTCATTCGGTCGATCATTACATAGATAATGATCATTCAAATTGCGAATGCAGGTCATTATATACTACAAAGTATATAGTAATATAATTACAATTACAAGATTACAACGGTCTTTCGTTCAAATACTAATCTTATACATATTAATTTTATTTAAGACAGTTACCAAGGTACACGTACCTATTTATTTTAGAATAGTGAGTGCATTTCAATAATAGCGACATCTACTACATTCTATAAGTAAAGTCATTTTATCGAACAAAAATTAATTGACTCTCTAGGTGGTACGTAGAGTAGATACTAGATGGCATAAACCCAAAAAATAATATTTTCTCATTATTTTTTTTAAAACGAAACCTCCACGCTAGTATTTTCTCCTTTATCGTGGGGCAGTTTACAAATATAAATCGTACAAGGGCAAACATCCTGATCGGGAACAATTATTTGTAGGCCATACAAATACTTGTATCGTGCGGGATTCGAACTCGCGGTTTTAGCATTGTAATTCAATTGCTAAGCCGCTGCACCACGGCGCCGTCAAATTTTATAATTTAGTTTATGTAAAATAATGGGTGCGTTTGGCAGAAAAAAGCGCTAGCAAGCGCTTGTAAGCAAAATGGCGATCGTAAGCGGTAAGCGCTGTCAAATCGTAAGTAGCTATTTTTCTCCAGGACACGATGTTAGTTTTAACCGGGGAACCTAACCTAATTTAAATATATGTTTGTAAAGTATTCATATTAAAAACTTACCAATCATGAATTTTTAATAACATGTTTATGTCTATTCATGTCATTATATTACTTAAAACTAATATTGCACAAAACATAAACTCTACTTCAAAATAAACAAATTAAATAAGCAAAATGGCGGATTGTGTCAGCGCTACTGAAGTAGCAATCGTGTCCTGGCCGAAAACTATTTTAGCGCTTGTAAGCGCTTGCTAGCGCTTTTTTCTGCCAAACGCACCCAATAATTTGTAAATTTGACGTTGCTGCCTATCTCCTGATTTGTTTCCATCTGTCGCGTTTTACGACAGCCACGGGGTGATATCGGGTAGTGAATATTCTTACACCGTCACTACACGGTACAATAAATTAGATACATATATATTTTAAAATCTAAATTAACTTAAACTGTACTATACTATATTTTCACTTTACACATAATTATTTGAATTAAAACTAATGTACAAAATGCACACAAATATTGCAAATAAATGCACAAATGCAACGTTAAAGATTAATAATCTTATTGATATTATTATCTTAACGAATGACATGCGCCACCAAGGCCAAGTGCGTTATTGCTGCGTTTTGAAAAAAAAATCAAATGCTAAACTTTCCATCCAAAACAAAAAACATAAACATAAATTTGCCTAAACCAAATATAATATGGTCATACAAATCTAAGTCTTGTGTCTATTTTACGAAAGATCATTTAAATTTGACAATTCTCACAACTACACAAACTTAAAAATTAGGCAATTTTAACCATTTAAAATTATTACTTTAGGTAATTATATCCAATAGGTCCATTTTGCACCGTCTGCGAAAACTACCAAACCATCGCAACGAAATCCATATTATATTATAGCTTCTTCTCTTTCTATACTTATTTATAACATCGTCGCAAGAACGAGAAACAACGAATATCGACGAGGGACATCGATTAGTTCGTGAGCCATGTTGGCATATCGTTATCGTTCCGGTTTGCGTTTTACTTTTCGTAACTTTCGTACGTTTTGGTTTCTTGGTTTTGGTTGGATATGTGATAACGATAACTATAAGCGAAGTGTAGAGTGTGGGGAAAGGAATGACGACCTGTTAAGACATGCAGGAAGTCAATGGATGTAGGTGGTTCAGGACCGTGATTTGTGGCATTACTTGGGGGAGGCCTGTGCTCAGCAGTGGACTTGTGAAGGGCTGTAATGATGATAATTACAGGCTGTGAGACATTCCATCTTAACCCACAGGGCTGACAACGCATATGTATCCTTTCTTATTTGAACTTGGCTGCGGGTGTCCATAGAATGCAGTAGCCATTTACCATCAGGTGGACTGTAAGTTCATTTGTACTTCACTTTTATAAAATATGTGAAAACTATGTAATATTTTTATCTTTGTTCAGGTCTGTCAGAAGAAAAAGAAAAGAAATTTCTTCAATTTAAACCAGTTCAAAAATATGAGAAGAAAGGTGATGAATACGTTTTTACTATTCAAACACCCGAGGGAGAAAAGAATACGAAATTCAAATCTGGCGTTGAATTCACGTCGACATTTAGAGACCGGCCTGTACGTATCTCATCGTCAAAATGCGATAATTGTAAAAAAGATTCCTTTTTCTCACATTTTTTCCAACTGACAACACGATTTAATTGTTTTTGTTAAATCATTTAACTATTTTTTTACGTTGTTGATATAATCAATGTTTATTTTTGACAGTTATCATCTTTTTGACAAACGATCTTAACTTAGACGTGTATAGAAGGAAGCCCCCGACTTCGGAAGCTATTATGTGGATTTTTTAATTCGTTTTGTTCTTTGATGGCGGCTTTTACTTTTTGGTAAATTTAAATTTTTCTCCCTTTTGAGTGAACTAAGGGATATCACAAGTACCTACAAGGTAACATTAATATCGGTTCACAATTAACTTTTACAATTTAAAATTAAAACTAGATGTGGTGGGACTCTTTTCTGTCTCCGGTTTCCAGGATTCCGTCTAGGAAGCTATCTCCATCTTACCTATTTCTGGCGCTTGCACTGCTGCAGTCTGAAGAGTATAGGAAGCCATCTTAGCTTCTAATGTGTTTTAGTACTAATTTTGTGAACCCACTACGTTAGTCACTTCAGTTTTTTTTTTAAATGACTGACTTCCTTTTTGGTCTGGTAATCGTAAATACGACTTCTAAGATAATAAATCTTAGAAGTCGCATTCGTTCATCTTCTAAACTAATAAATCTTCAAGATCCCGCGTTGAATACAGATTCGAATCAAAATAATTTATAGAGTTTTTCTAACATTAAAAAAAACAAAGATAATATGTTTCCTTCTAAAGGAATTTGATAACTTCAAAATTTAGTGTACTTTCCCTCCAGGTCCTGTTCATTTTTTCTGCTCTGTTATAAATTACTATTCAATGTTGCGTTGCTTTAGAAATGATGCCTGTAACCTTTTCACATGATTTTGATATTAACGCATTTTCGATCGTCATCAGACTAAAATTATAATGTAAATTGAACAACGCCTCTGGCGGACGTAGATGGAACTATGTTTTGAAATAAAAAGTCTATATTGTCCATTTGGAGGCCGACTTAAAAAAGAGAGAGGATTTACTGTTACTGTACTAAAATATGTTACACAAAATCTTAAATAACTTAAAGATTAGTAATTATAAATAAATCTTAAATAGGTTAAACTTCAGAGGTAGTGTTATTTTAGAGAAAATTGACCTTAAACGGTGTACGAATAGGGGTTGAAGTTTTTTAATATAGATAAATCTATACATAAAATAAAGTAGAAAAGTCGTGTCTGTAATTCTGTGTGGGTAGTTAGGGACCCGGGGCAATTTATAGCCTACTTTTTATCCGATTACGGAACTTCAAAAAAGGAGGGTCGAATATTTTCGTCCTTTATAGGTATGTTAATTTCAATTTTATACGATTGTTGTGTTTTATTAAAATAAATAAAATATTTATAAATGAAGCCTAAAATTACTTTTAACCGTTACGTAATAAATTGAAGTACGCCGACAATCTCATTTCATTTTTTTTTTCATTTTTCAAGACTGTACCATCTAACGAACACAAAATGTAGTGACGTTTTGCCTCCGTTACTTACGAGTATAAATTAAATAATAGAAATTAATTAACTTTATATGGTTATTTAATTAAATTCATTAATGATTTGAAAATTCTAAAGAAGTTCATTTTGTAGTTTTTGTTATTTCATTTAGTATATATATATATATATATATATATATATATATATATATATATATATAAGGAACTAATTACTACTTAAATAAATAATAGTGACTTCTATCGAAAATCATTAAAATAAAAGTTTAATTTTTCTATGAAAAGTTTTAGTAGGTATTCGTTATTTTATCTATGAATAAACTGATAAAAAATAAAAATTGCAATTGTTACAACACTTATTATCATTATAGTTTAATAAATATATTTTTATATAATATTTATTAGTTACATTTTAGAATATATAATATCATGAATTAGTCGATTTTTGTGCGAAATGGCAGTATTTCATAAAATTTTACAGTATTTCATGACAATATCACGATATAGATTAACCAAATACTTTGACCAAAAATAAATGTTGTTTACCATGTTTAATTTATGATAGGAACTGAAGAAGGTACCGGGAGACTGGTACAAAGCCGTGATAGTCCCAATATATAAAGGAAAAGGGTCACAGCAGGACTGCAAAAACTAAACTAACGTGGTTTCAGCCTTCTTAGCATTGTGAGAAAACTGTATGCTATGTTAACAATTGAAAGAGTTATGAAAGAAACTAATGGAAAAGGTTAGGATGTGTATACAGATCAAGTTTTTTTCCATGCACATGATGAAGAAGCTTTTGGACAAAAACTAAAAAAAAAATTTGTGTGTTCATTGACTTAGAAAAGGCTTATGACAGAGTGGACAGGAATGTGTTATGGCAAACACTGAACTCATGGTTGAGCGTTGGGTTGATACAGGCATTAAGGTCTCTTTATAGGTACTGTAGTGTTTGTATCAGGATCAACAGGGCCTATTCGGACTGATTTGGTATTCAGAAAGGTGTCAGACAGGGCTGTGTAGCTTGCGTCGTCGGCTGCCAAGTTGCAAATGATGGTTACATTAATGAACAGGTCATTAAAAGAAAGGGGAATGAAAGTGAACACAAGTGAGACGACAGTTATGGTTTTTGAAAGAGAAGAAAGAAAAACGATATGTGAAATAAGCATAGAAGTGGATTCGGTCGAACAAATAGATATAGAACGACGAGTGAACGCAAGAAATAGAGTAAATAGGGCTCTACATTATATTGTGGATAGTCAGAATGTATGAAAAAATGTACATATGGTAGTTCACAATACTGTATTAGTATAATTTAACGTATGGTAGTGAAGGTTGGGCGTGGCAGAAGAAGCACAAGAGTAAAATAAACGCAGTAGAAATGCAGTTGTTACGGAGTACCCATGTTAGGGCTGAATCTAAGTGACAAGGTGAGAAGTTGTGTGGTGAGAAACGAGTGTGGTTTGCAAGATGACGTTGTGACCAGGATTAGAAAAGGAATGCTTCGGTGGTTTGGTGATATAGAAACAATGAATAAGGAAAGAGTATTACTGCAAATTTATGTTGCAGAAGTGAACGGCAGAGGCGGAAAGGGACGTCCTAAGCGAAAGTTTATCGACCAAATTGGCGGTATATTGAAAATAGGACAAATTAAGAGTAGGTACTTAACTGACGAACATATATGCGTAGGTATACGAATGTAGAGGAGGCGAGTGAAGTGTGTCAGGATCGTGCCAAATGAAAGTCTGTAGTCTTGTAAATCTGTCGCCAAGTCGAGCAAAAAAGCGGCACGACCGTACCATCTTTTCTCGAAGAAATTCAGGCCATTTTCGACCCCTTATAACTTCGTGGTTAATAAAACTAGAAGCCTGAATTACCGAGTAAACATTGTACAAACATGGTATATTTAAAGTTTCATTCAATTTGAACCAGTAGTTTAAGAATTGTAACCAGTCAAAGTTTCTTAATTTTGTCACTCACTGACTGACCGATCATCAAAACTCTAGGTTTTTTTTTTTTTTATATATATATATTAAAAGTTTAAATTTATTGGGAGTGGGGGTGTAATTAATTTTGGTGAATGTGGGTTTTGGTGGTGGGGGATTCTAATGAATTAAAAAACTTCTACAGAATTAAGAAAATTGGAGATCCATTTGTAATACCAAGTCGGTTAATTTATTCAGTTCCTACTTAAGGGTCCTTCTGTTTTAAGTTATTACGTAATTAGCTAACCTAACAACATTTTATAGTGACCATATCAATGTTAAAAGTCTTTTATGTTTTAAATACTAATAATAATACTAATAATAATTGACTTGGCCATCGCATGAAACCACAATGTATCTCACAAGTAATACGTATTATATTAAATTAGATTGCTTAATGCGATTGCCAAGTCAATCTATATATTTAAAACATAAAAGACTTTTAAAATTGATATGGTTATGTTTTTAATAGTATAACGTATTTCTGATTCCAGGGCAATTTTCGCTTCATAAAGACACATCGAAAGCCGTGCTCGATATAAAAATAGATGTAGCTAGACGTTTGGTTTAATGCAATTCTAATTATTATAAACGCACTTGTGCTTTTTACTATGTAATATTGCCAAATTTCAATCATTTCCTACAAGTTATCCAGTTTTGCTAATTTCAGTACGAAATAGTAATTATTGATGTTTCTAAATTTAAGCTCACGTGAGCGAAGCCGCGGGTAAAAAGCTAGTAGACAATATTTTTCTTGTTACTTTGAGCTTGTTACCTAAAAAGGTTGAAAAAATATTATTTTATTAAAAAGTAAAATGATCAATTAACTAAACTAACTAAAAAGAAAGAAAATAAGGACTAAAGATATTTATATTTTTCGGAATCTGAATATAAGCGTTCCTCCTAGATTGTCTCAAAGACGAGGTATTCGCCACACTCACCACGCTTGGCAGGCGGGTTGTCAAAAGTAAAGTAAAGTAAGTTACAGCCTATATACGTCCCACAGCTGGGCACAGGCCTCCCCTCATTTCTGAGAGGGTTTCAGGGCAAGGAAGTGTCCGCCGCGCTGCCTCAATGCGTGTTGGCGAACTTCACATGTCTTCGAAATTTTTTTTCTTATTCCTCAGATATGCAGGTTTCCTCACGATGTTTTCCTTCAAGCCGCCGAGCAAGTGGTAAATCAGCACTTAAAATTGCAATTAACAATTTCATTGGTGCCGGCGGGGATCAAACCCGGGTTACTCGTGTTCTGTTATATTTACAGCGAGCGTTAACCATATAAGCTACCACGGCCACACAAGTCAAATCGTTCAGAAGTTACCTGATCATTAACAAACACACCAACGATTATGGTTTAAGGTCAAGTTTTCTCTTATCACTTTGATTTGCATTTTTTGCATCTATACCGAAGAATACATCAAGGAATTATTCAAATTGATTATAGACGCCATGTTTCACCGTCGCACCTTATGACACAAATTGGCATTTTCTCTGGTTTTGCAAATGTTTATAATCCGGCGTGATCGCTTAGCCGATTATTTGGTAAGCCGCCTGCTCGTTTACTCCCTTCTTCAAAAACTTTTTTTGTTTTTCAGATGACTACTACAATTACTGTAGACGGAAATAAAATTACACAAGTAATTAAATTCGAGAGTGGCTTCACTATGACCATCAAAAAGGAATACACTGATGACACTTTGTCCGAGGTAAGAATAAAATAAGTATAACACATTTTTTGAACTGAACTGACAAAAAATGACAGTCCACCAGATCTATAGTGCAGTGGTCCATGTACACCTAAAGCCAACTCAAGCAAACAGGTTACAGACGCGTTATCACCTCTGAGAACTAAAATGAAATGCCTCTCAGCGTTGAACTTTACTAGCTCATTATACTCTTCCGACTGAAATACAGGAGCACAGGTTTTGCCGCTTGGTGGCAGAGAAAGGTAGGTTGGTGGCAGAAAAAGGTAGGTTCCTACACAGAAAGACAGTCCTAGTAATTTTTCAAAAGTTAAAATCATATATAATTGCCAAGGATGCCAAGTAGGCCAACTGAGGGAAAGTTTCTGTAATTTTCTATCTTCAAGGGAAATCAAAATGTTCTATTATACTTAGAAGTAAAATTAAACTAAAACTTCTTTTTACCAATAATTCGCTCTCCAGTCGCTTTCTTGTATCGTAAAATTCTATTCCGTGGTTTGTAGTACCTATTTTTTTTCCTGGATATAATGACTCGTTTACCAACTCTATTGGTGTTTTGTAAATCTATCTATTAACCCGTATCAGAAAGATGGACAAAAACACCAAACGTCATTACATCAGCAAGATTAGTCAAGTTGACTTTCTATGCCGCTGCTCTATTGATGAGCGATGACAATAGGACAGCGCCTAACACCGTTAACGCTAGTAGAAAAATATTTTCGCATCAAAACCATTAATGTGAAGGGCATTTTGATCAATTTTTTCAAATTTCAGGTCGTATTTTAACTTTCTAAGTAGGAGTGTCCTAGATTTACGACGAGTGAGTCAGTGAATCAGTCAGTTAGTGGAAAAAATTTCACTCTTCAGACCTTAAAACTCAAGAATTATAATAATTTTATTCTTAAAATTTGGGATTTTAACCAATAACCAATTACAAGTGCGTAGATCTAATAATTTTTGAGTTATAGGAGGGGTTCGAAAGTTGCTCTAAACGAAGCTTTGGTTACGATCTTAACTAACACACTGTTTTGTGACTACAAATTTAAATGAAATCAAAGAAAATAATATATCATTCCTATTAATTTTTATATTTTCCATTAGCGTTTCCGATTATAGAAAGTCAACTTTGCTAACACTGTACCACAGATTGTAGATTACGATTTTATTACTTTCAGCTACTTGTCTTCAAATCTTTTTTTAATAATGTATTACATGTTGAGAAGAGAAATGTGGCCATTGAAATAATATTTTGTGTACTATCATTTAGATTCAATAAATTTTACACTGTTATTTCTTACCTATTTGAGTTACTGGATATTACACCGTCACCATTGTTCAGCATATCAAGGAACCAACTTCAACATACAATGATTGAAATTATTACAGCACTTTTGCGTTACGCCGTTTTATCATTTTGTTTAGAGAACGATGAAATGAGGCAAAAGCAAGTAGATACAAGACTATATATCGACAAAAAATATTGCTAAATATAATGTTTTGGTTCGTAGAGTTTTCAAGATCGTAGTAAGATATTGCAACAAGTTTTATTTTACCAGGTCTTTATTAAGTCACTTTCTTGTTGTCTTGTCTTTCGTTCCGAGAGGAATTTGGTAATTGATTTTAAAGTAACATCCCGATGAGCTGAAAACTTGAAATATTGAATAAATAAATAAATATAATAAAGAAATATAGCTCAAATTCGGATGACAATGCGAAATACGATAAAAAAAGTGGTATTTTTATAATTTAAAAAATTCACTTGTTCCAGGAACTAACCCACAGCAAATGGGACGGTACCGCTCGCAGATTCTTCAAAGCGCAATAAATGAATCTGATTGTCTGCTGCACGGGTCTGCTGTGTGGATACGTCTTATTAAATAAATTCTTTAAGGACGTGTTCATTATCTAGATTTAAACCCAGTATTGTTACCTACTGTTTGTATCAAAGAGTAATAAATAATTTTAATATACTTAATATAATAATTTAACACACACACACACACACACGCACGCACGCACGCACGCACGCACGCACGCACGCACGCACGCGCACACACACGCACGCGCACACACACACGCACACGCACACACACACACACACACACACACAAGCACGCGTACGCACACACGCACGCGTACGCACACACACACGCACACACACGCACGCGCACGCACGCACACACACACGCACGCGCACGCACACACACACGCACACACACGCACGCGCACGCACACATAATTAGTACCACACTCAATGATGTTTCAAGTTTTAAACTTTTATAAATTCCTTACCCCCAGCCAAACACTCATCGAGTGGCATGGAAAGAAGCGAGGAAAGGAGGCAGAGACGTATTGTGGCCACAATACCCATCATGCCGCACTGATGCCCCTCGTCATGCCCATCGCTCCCCGTTTTGTCGGTTTTTAGGGCGCGACTCAAAGGACTGGCAATATGAGCGCGAGTGGCTGGCCACACACTTGCGCAAACCGCAGTTCGAGTCGAGCGCTCAGAAGCATGTCACGTGTCACTTAAAAATCATAAATAGTATACCTATCATCATCATTAAGCCATATTATCACATGAGCAAATAGTATACATAGAAATAGCTATGTCAACGACGACACCGTATTTCTTTTTATGACATTGATATAATTGGCTATAATAAATATGCATAGCTCGCACAATTTTCAAGGACAGGCGGGCTATGCTTTAGTACGTAGTAGTCGTTCTCCTGTTCTCTAACTTTCATGGCTCGCACGCTGCAACAGTTTCTACATCCATCGCGTTGCAAACTTGAGCAACCTAGTGCGGAGCGTCGCGATTAATTGCGCGAGTAGAGCAGTGTGTGGACAGTCAGGCAAACATCGCGGCAGCGCGAGGAGCATAGTGTGACCAAGCCATTAGGGTAATTACATACATATGAAATAATACATGCTTTCTATAAGATTATTGAAGGAAGAAATTATATATTATTACATAAATATTTAACATTCAACTAAAAGGCACAACCAGTTATTCAAAAACAAAAAAATATGAAAATAAAATATGTAGAGTAAGCAGTATGCAAAACAATATTTTTTATCACTTTCACACGTTTTATTTATATCCTCCTGTTCACGTATCACGTTTTATTTAATCCTACCAAAATAGGTAAAGATTTTGACAGTTACTAAGAAGCTTTGTTTCTGTACGGTTTCTTTACTCAAGTGGTTTAAGTCGGGCGAGCGCGACAGCCACCATAATATTTATTCCGTATTTTATACTATTTAAAAGTACCGACAATGTCAAAATGCGATGTGTGTAAAAAACGGTTACGAAATCTATGCCTGGACTAGAATGTAGCAAGTGTGAAAGGATTGTGCATCTTAACAACAGGTGCAGTGGTTTAACTACGAAACAGATTTCTGGATTGAAGGCGGCGTCGAGTCTGGAGTGGACTTGCCACCAATGCCAGCGAGAATCACCGAGGCGAAACTCATTCATAATCATTCCTGAAGAAGACGAAGAAGATGATACACCTGTCCAAATAAACGCCAACAACTAAGGAAGTTGAAAAAACTATCAAAAATGAATTGCGCGACTTAAATGAATCTTTTCAATTTCATAGTGCGAAATTAGACGAAGTAGTCGAATGTATTGATGCTTTCAAGCAGACAATAAAAGCCCTTGAACGGAAGAATTTGGAGCTAACTAACAAGAATTTAGAAACCCGTGTTCGTGCCCTTGAACAACGTTTGCAAGAAATTGAACAAGAAAAGCTCATAAAATATATAGAAATAGCCAACGTTCCCTTTCAAAGCTCAGAAGCGGTCAACAAATTGGTGGAAAATGTTGCTTTGAAGCTCAAACAGTCTCTCGAAGCAATCAAAAGTTCTCAGAGATTACCTGGAAGAAAAGACCAACCATCCAATATTGAAGTAGAGTTGCAGGACGAAGACGCCCGATAAAAATGGATGACCGCAGCGAAAACCATCAAGACCACGGTAGGTGACATATGCCCCTCCGAGAGAAACAATAATAATGTGTACATACGAGAGGCCATGACAAAGGCTAACAAGGCCATACTATGGGAAGCTAAACAGGAGCTAAAAATCAACCAAAACTTCAAGTATGTATGGTTTAAAAGGGATTTGTAAAGGCACGAAAGGATGAGAACTCTAAAATCTATACCTTAAGAACAATGAAGGACGTACAAGCTTTAACTATTAATAAGCACAAGCCATCTATTAAGTATATAAGCTATATAATATGTAGTTATTACTCAATTATTTAAACAAAAATTATAGTTATTACACTGGACATCGTACAAGACGATATTAATGAACTTTCAGATGGTTTAACATAAATAATTTCTTGTGCAATATTCCTAATATGCATATAAACTTACTATGTATTCATATTAACATAAGGTCAATCGTAAAAAACTTCACCACGCTCGCACAATGTATACTTACTGCTAATAAAAACATAGACGTCATTATTCTAACTGAGGCTAACATAACGGATAGTATTAGTTGCCTGTATCATATAACCTCTCAGCAGTCCGGGCCAAAATAGCCGCTTTGGCGCATCTGTCAAACCCTAAACGAGTGTTATATTGCCTACGTGGCGCGTGTCATTAAAATGGCAATATCTTAATATTTATGTATGGGAACTATATAATATGATATGTTGTTAGAATTATTGTTAAATAAGCTAATAGAATATGTGTAAATGTGTACGTTCACCCTTTTGGTATGTTATAAATTTGGTGGTAAAATTGCTAGAAGCGATTTTTTTCTAGTTTGTTGAATATAAAATGTAATCATTAAAAAATTAAGCAATTATTTCAATAAATATTTACTTCATTTACTATACGATAACACACTTTACAATAATGAATAAAAAAAACACAACTCTACGTACAGTTTTTTCACACCACAAGCTCTACAATAATGTGGGCCACTTAAGATGACCCGAAACAGGCACAAAAAAAGGCACATTTTGTACTTCAATATCGACGACACCTGAGGCACAATGGGCTATAAATCTTAACTTATGCTATAGTTTGGTCTTTGTTCTTAATATAAACAGTTTCAAATATTACAACTATTCAGTTATTAAGAAATGAACGAGTTGTAACAAACACTTGAAAAAGTGACCCTAAAAAAATGCTTTCAAACTTTTGCATTTGTAACGAACAATTTTGTAATTTATTTACATGTGAATGTACATTCCTAAATATAATAACATTTCCTAAGTTAAAAACAAAACAAATAAGGCATCTTTTATACAAAATTATGTTAGAAATCATCAACTAAAAGTTACACATTCACTACAAAAAGCACCAAGTATGACGTAGTACCCAGCTATGCTAGTATGGATACTTTCTGTGGTGACTTCTTTAATAATTGTAATCATGAACATAAAATTAAAATGAAATACAAATTAGTTATTTTTCTTTGCTTTTTATATTTTTATTTAACATTTGAATGTTATTATAAAAAATGTTTGACAATTCTTTTTTCCAAAATAAAGATTTATATTTTTGTTATTTAGATTTTTTTTTAATTTTACTTAATTTGAAGTGACCCTAGCCTAGTGATAGCTTGCGTGCGAGATCCATAATAAAGTTTAAGCAATGCACGCGTTAGCTTGCAACTGGATGGGTGACCGTTTCGTACTTTGAGGCTATTCCAACTATAGCACCGCAACGAGCTAAGGATTATTGCTTAGCAATAAAAACTACTACGTACAAAAAGCAATCTCTTCCAGATAACCTTGGGCTAAGAGTGAAAACAAAGAGTGTTTCACTTGTCAATCAAGTGCAAAAAAATATAATGACATGTACATACAAAAAGTAAAACAATTTATTGACAAAAAAATAAAACGAAACAAATAAAAATCCACACCAAAAATTATCGTAAAAATATACCAACACTGGCATTCCCAAAATCGTATCCATACTATACAACCTGCTCTCTAAGATGGCGGATTTCATGTGAATAACTTTACGACCCATGTCTGTCCACAACCGCCAGGTGGACGAGAGATTTAAGCAATTTGTTATTTTTAGTTTTATGAAATATTTAATCGAAACTATACAATTGTAATTATTGTTATGTTTGTAAATAAGTATGTTAACGATATTAAGACAATGTTTACCATTCACAATTGTATTTTTAATTTAAAACAATTGAAGTTAATACGATCATGGTTTCAACATGGCGGTCGAAATGGCAAGCAATGTTTGATAAAATGGAACAATTTATGTACAAATCGTCATCTAATATATTTGATATTAATAGAAAAGTATTTATGACTTACCCATTCATGTTTATCTTTAATATTGACTTCCGAAATCACTTTCAACAATTAATACTTTGCACGTAAACACACGACACCGCGTCACAGAACGAGCAACTGAACGGAATAAATGTATTACTATTTCACAGCTTCTATGGTTGGTTTATGAAGCGTGTGTGATATTAATTGCCGTCTTTGTTTAATTCTCTGCATGTTGTACCAGTTATAGGGAGATACGTATACTTTTACTAGGGCTGTTTCGAATCTGAAGTTTATAAGTAACCACCAACCTTCTGATGGTTGTGGACAGATGCGTACTTTTTGACAGCAACCTTTAGAAGGTTTTGGACTGACGAGATGATAAATGGTTACCAAATATTCACAGCCCTAATACAGACAAGAAAGGGTGGTGATATGATCATATACGTAAGTAACAAACATAAATGTAACATAATGACAACAAAAACTACACATTTTGAAAACATTTTACTAAATATCACCACTCATTTTAACTATACTGCGAACATTTGTGCAATTTA